TGATATAGCCTGATATTTTTATTAGATAGCCCTGCCTTGAGACAAGTGTACATGTTTGTTTGGATACAAGAGAAACATGGAAGCTAATTAAAGCTTTTGAATTTGGATAATTTAGCTGTTGATATACTGATATACTTCTATTCCTGTTTTACTTCTGAGACTTCAAGTAATACCATATAATGTGTTTGCATAATCCTAGATAATGTACTAATTTTCTCTGTTACAAACTTACCTCAGATAAATGGCACAAAGTGCATTTTGGTTAGCGTGTTTAATTGAAGGGAAATATGCAGTATTCTAAAATGATTAAAAATCAGCATACAAATTTGTTTTTGCCTATGTAATTATTTTGATCATACAAATAATTATTTTTGACATTCAAGTGTTGGGACATGTATAACTGCTAATATCACTGAATCATTTGATTCATAGTAAAATTGCTAGAATCTTTCTGCATTTTTTTGGGCGTGGATAGGGTATCAGTTTCTCTGGCATTTGGGCTACCTTTTAGTGGTTGTGGATGAGACTTTATGTTGTTTAAACTCATCAAAATGGGTTTTGAATTTATCTTTTAATTTGTAGGGATAGTGTAGGGTTGAGATAGAAAGAATATATCCCTCCTAGTTAGAATTTGATGCTCTGAGAACTGTGGTTGTCTATCTGAATTACTGCACGTCTATTTGCGATAGGCTAAGGCAAGGCACAATGTGGCCTAACGTTGGATTGTTTTCATCATCACCATGTCCTCCCATTTTCAAATATGTGAAAGGAAATTAATTACAAATGCCCTGCCACAATTCTTCAATGTTCTTTCTATGTTAAAAAGCCTGTAATTTGCATAATATAAACTAATAGATTATTTTATGGAATCAACATCTTGACAGAAGTTGTTAAATCTTAGGCTCAAATTATTAAATCCTAGAATCATGTACTGACAGGAAGAATCAAGCATATCATGCCCAATCCATTTTGCATGAATAAATTAAATTTAATATTTGAATTCTATTGTCTGATAAAAGTCACCTACAAAATTTTGAGGGATGCATGAAAGTACTTCATGATGTAGAAGTTGTTATAAGGTGTGATAAAGTACTTAGTTGGAATTGACCAAATCCCAAGTCCTTAAACTGAATTAGGTGGGGTTAAAAGTCAGATACCTCCTTAATAAAAAAAAACAAAACTTGATTACAGAGAGGAGGTAGGTTCTCCAGGTAAATTGGAAATAAAAGGATCTCCCAAACCCAAGGCTTGGAGGTTAAATACACTGTCTTTGAATTCTATTGCCTTGTAAATGAAAGACTCGTACAATGGTTTGCAGGATATAAGTACTTCCTACTACAAAATTTGTTTTAAGGCGTGATAAAGTGCTTGAAAATGTATGAAAGTTACATCAAATGATAGAACTTCTTATATTTTATTTCCTTATATCCTTAAAACATTGTCTTTAAAACACATGACAAATTTCAATACATATCATTTATCTAGTTTGTCATACTACCTGTAAAAGAGAAAATTTGACCGAATATTAATTTCATGTCAATATAAATTGTGATTCTATACCACCAAAA